GATGGGTGGGTGGGTGGGTGGTGGATGGACAGATGGGTGGGTGGGTGGGTGGTGGATGGACAGATGGGTGGGTGGGTGGATGGATAGCTGGATGGCCGGTGGATGATGGGCAGATGGACAGACATCACCCTCCACATCTCTGCAAGCTGCCTATTTTCTAGAAGCACTGGCTCTCACCTCCTGGGGTCACCCTCTGGGGTCACATGCCCTCTCCATGGCGGCCACCTTGTGGACCTTGGACCGGGGCAGGCAGTCCAGCCTTGACCGTCAGCCTCTGCGTAGGCGGCAGCCCAAGCCCGGCCAGGGCAGGCGGCTGAGGACCTAGAGGAGGGGCCGGGAGCCTCAGCACCCGTCTCCCAACAGGCCGAAGGCCAAGGGCGCTTCAGAGAGTTGAGTTTATTAGATGGCCACTTGATGCAGGGGATGGACACGGGGGTGGGGGGCTCGGCAGCTGGTCTGGAGGCGCAGAGACTGCGGGGGGGGGCTGCCACTTTGGGAAAGAGACAGCGGAGAGGAGGGGGAGGGCGGTGCAGACAGACGGTGAGGGAACAGGGAAGAAGAGAGGACGGGAGGGACGGAGTGGCAATAAATCGTCTTTGCGAGGTGGGAGGACCCAGCAGCCCAACCCCCACCCCGCTCCCTGCAATCCCCACTGCCAGGGTTCCACCACGAACCACGAACGGAACCACGGCGAGGGCAGCTTCCCGCAGTGTGTGCCAGGGGGTGGTGCGGCCCTGGCACCTCTGCCAGCAAGCCAGGGCCGCAGACACCAGCACCGGGCCTGGGGCTGAGCTGGGGGGCGGTGGGGCCCCACTCGAGCCCCCCCACCCCAACCTGGCAGCCCCATCAGGCTTCAGCCTCCCAGTGCCTTGGGACCCGTCATCCAATGGGGACCCAAAGCACCTACTAGGTGCGCCCCACGCCGGCCTCGTCCCCTCCTCCAAAAGGGCAAAGTACAGAAGCACTCACTTCTGCTGGTATTGATTTTGGCACCGGTCACTTCTTTTGAAAGGACAATTTGTCGGGCTGGTGCCAGCACCGCATTGCATCATGCACTTGGAATGTTCCAGAAACAACCTGCATAGTCCCAGCACTGTCCACCGCTGTCCCCTGTAAGCCCTCCAAACCCACAGCCCGATCCAGCCCGGCCCAGCAGGGTCCCAGAGATCCCAGAGGGCCAGGACCGTCCCCAGAGGGCGGGGCCCAGGCCCAAGCTTGCTGGCTGCCCTGCCGCTCCGGGCGGGCTTCCAGAACTGTCTGCGTCTCCACTGGACAAAGGACTCTGTACACGGGAGACCGCACGCGGAACAACACCGCTCTGTCCCCAGGAACTCAGCCCGTGGGATTCTGAGCTCAGCCTCCAGGAGCTTTGTTTGTCTCCAACAACGTGAAGGGAAGAAAGTTCCAGAGACACTCTCCTGGGTAGGGAGCCGGGCCCCTCCAAGGCTGTCCCGTTATGAACCCCCTCGTACCCCAGGGGCTTCTAGTGACAGGGAACACAGATGAGACCCCCAGGAATGAGCAAGCCCCCACCTGGCGAAGGTCTCGCTCAGGAAGGGGAGGAAGGGCGGGGTGGGGGGCATTGGCAGCCCTCCCCACAGTGATGCACCCCTCCTCTCCCTCTCCCTCCCCTTCCCAGGCCCCTCCCCTCTCCTGCCTCCCCCTTTCATCTTTGGTACTGGAGAACGATCCAGAAAGCCTGGCATGTCCTGGGAGAGCCGTCCCCCCCACCCCTCCATGGCACACTCCGCAGCCTCCTGTTGGGGTGCGGGGGGTCCCCACACCGTGTGTCTGGCCCTCCCCACAGAGGACAGGGAAATGCCCGTTCCGTTCAGCTTCCAGACTCTGTTTGCAAACGCCCGCCAAGACGGCTGGGGACGAGGCCGGGGCTGCGTGGCTTCACGCGAGTGCGTGGCTTCACGCGTGTGCGTGGCTGCACACAGCCTGGCACCGGGGACTGTGAGCGGAGACGCGCAGACGCCCGTCCACACAGGGCGTGGACCACTGCCCGGACCCGCCAGCCAGCCACAAGCACAGGACGAACTCCGAATGAGGGAAACACAGAACCCACGGCCACGCGCATTTTCTGGAAAGACTCGACGTGGCCGATCCCAAGCCCTTTCCAGCCCAGTGGCCGAGGCCAGGTCAGGGGACAGTCCCTGGAAGCTGAATCGGCACCTCGGAGTGGCACCCGGAGCGGCCCAGCCGCAGCCGCAGCCCGCAGCCCGCAGCCCGCCAACCGGGGAGACGGATGCAGAGGAACATGCGTGGTTCACACCCGGTCAAGACGGCTTGCCCGTAACCCCCAAACCGGTCCTGTCTGCGTGTTCACGGTCAGCGGCGCACACACATGTAACTCCATGGGAGACAGAGGGGTCCGCCTTCTTCCCGCCACCCTCACGTGACGGACACACTGCTTCAGTGGACTTAGCGCCATGGCTTTTGCCTTGTGGGTGGGTATTATAACCAGCTCTCCAGCACAGCGCCGAAGCACGCAGGACCTGGGTCACAGGAAGGCGGAGGTGGGCCGTACGGAGAGAACGTGGGTTATAGCAGCGCCGCGCAGGCCTCGGTTCCGAGCCAGCCAGTCCCTGACGGGAAACAGGGAGGCTCTGCAGTGCACAGCCGAATCCACACCAGAAGCTCCACACACAACCAACGCCAGAGGCCAGCTGCGTTCCCTGAGCCGGTCTGCCACAGGAACTCGTCCAAAAACAGGCAATAGAGCCACAAAATTCTCTCCAAGACGCCCAGCCAACACCGGCCAAACAGAAGAAAAGGCGGCTGCTGCTGGACAGCACCCCCGCCTGGCGGAGGCCGGGCTGCCGGGACTCCGAGAGCTTGGTGTCAGTGATAGCAAACACCTTTGCACCCCCAAGAAACAGGTTGTGTGTATATGTGTGTGTGCACACGCACACCCAAAGCTACCATCATTCTCCAGACCTTTCTGGGGTATCCTGACCCCCACGTGCAGGCCCTGCCTGTCGAAGCTGGGTCGGGGCACTGCTCTTCCAAGGGGTGGACCTCGAGGTGCTAGGCCCGACACCTTGAGCACCAGGGCCTGGCTCCCATCACCACCACGGCCCCTTGTCCCCCCCACCTCTGCCACATGGTGCCCGGTGATGCTTGGATGGGGACAGAGCCTGACACAAGGGAGGGGAAGCTGGGGAGGGGAGGCCGGGGAGGGGAGGCCGGCTGGAGGAGGAACACAGGTTTGTGGGGGGACAGGAGGAGCATCTCCACGAGGCCCCAGCTGGAGGCTGCCCGGCACCGGGTCTCACCGTCTGCTGCAGGTCCTGGATGATCACACGGATGACCAGCGTGTGGCCCTGGGCCTCCTCGGCGCGCGCGCCCGCCGGCCTGTCCGCCACAGCGCGGATGGTGTCGTAGGTGCTCTCCCCCCTGGAGCTGTCCGACTCCGAGCCCACAGAGTCGTCAGAGAAGCTCTGGGCCATCTCGTCCTCGCTGGACGTCGGGCTGCGCGGCATGGCTGCCGAGCCGCTGCTGAGGAAACGGAGAATGGACGATGTAACAAAATGTGACCCAATCCAGGGGTTCTGGGGGGAAGGGGGGGTCTCTCCGTGTGGCTTCAGACCAAGGGTCACAGGTAGGTGTGTGTGTGTGTGTGTGTGTGTGTTCTAAAGGCAACACGAATCCACCAGCGTCTACCTCCCCCAGCCTGGGCGAAGAGGAGGGCACACAGGGCCCGGGCCGGGGGGAGGGCCCCCGGCAGTCCCTGACCTCTAGCCCCTATGCTGCGAGGCCCCCACTCGCGCAGCCAGCCAGCTGTGTGGCCACAGCTCTAGCCACGGCCACTGTGTCCATCCGAGGGGTGCACAGTTTGACATCTCCCACACGAGGCAAACGGCTCGCGTAGGCCTGTCTCTGAGGACAGGACGGCAGGAGAGGAATAATGGCGGGCGTCGGGTGGACCAGCAGCAATAGCCCGGGGCTCCACAGGCACAGCCACCGGCACCCGCCTCCGGGGGCGCCGGGCCCCAGGATGGAGGGCAGAGCAGCGGCTTTGTCACGAACCAGCCAAAGGCTCGGAGAAGCCAACCTTCACGGTCAAGGCCAGGAACAGCTCTCCAGAGAAGCCCCAGGCGGGCAGCGGCCGGCCAGCTCGGAGCTGGACTCCAGGGGGAGCAGGAAGGACTCCGAAGAGCGGGCGCCGGTGGCTCACGCCTGTCATCCCAGCCACTCGGGAGGCCGAGGTGTGAGGATCGTACTTCAAAACAACCCCGGGCAGGAAAGTCCATGCGCCTCTTGTCCACACTTAACCAGCCAAAAGCTGGAAGGGGCCTCAGGGATCCTCTCACACAAGCACCACCCCTCAGCCCCTCGCCCCCCCCACCTCCAGCGCCCCGTGGCTGGCTCCGGGTCAGCTCCGCTCTGCCCATTACGTCCAGCCCCCCTCAAGCCCAGGCCTGGGCAGGTATTCTGCGGTTCGCTCCCACTCCTGTGTTCTTTGACTGGGGTGAGGGTGCGGGCTGGGAACACACTGGGAAGCCTCCAGGGAGATGCGGGGAAAGCCGGGTTCCCCCCCACCCGGGTGCACTTACACGCACAGCGCCCCCCCAGGCGGCTCCGCCCCCCTCCCAGGCGGCTCCGCCCCCTCCCAGGCGGCTCCACCCCCCCTCCCAGGCGGCTCCGCCCCCTCCCAGGCGGCTCCGCCCCCCCCACGCACACACCCCTCCGGCCCTCTGCGCACAGCCCAACCACTAGCTGCAGGACAGGCATGATGTCAGAGGCGGGGCCTCACCAACGGGGGAGTATCGCACAGCCATAAAGAAGGGGAAGTGTGTCATGTGGGGGATGGCGGGACTGGGGATCACCCGGCGGGACGGCTGTGCTGAAAACGCCAGATACCAGACCTGAAAGACACGCTCACAGACGGACGCACACACAGACACGCTGGTACGTGTTTACACACATGCAACGTGATGATCATGTGATGATCATCGTGTGACCACAGGGCGGGGGAGAAAGAGAACCCCAGGGAACAAATCCTACCAAACTCATGGTGTCGGGCATGCGGGAGGCACGGGAAA